ATCCAAGCGCAAAATCGAAGTGTCACTCTTCGATTATATCAATAAATTAACCTAAGTGTCACTCTTAGGTATATCAATTCATCAAGCAAGAATTCATCAAGTCCTAATTAAATTTACTCGCACAAGAACAAACGAATCAAGCCCGAAAAATACACGTTAAATGAGAACAATCATCCCCTATCCCTAGCAATAAGATTTAGCTAAGTAGCATGAATTCAACACAATAAAGCAATTCACCCCAAATAATCATTCTCATGAATTAAACGAGATGAAAAATACTTACAATCAATCCAATCCGAAAGTTGAATCCAAAATACAAGCTTAATCCCTAAAATGGAAAAGAAAGAAAAAAGAAAGAAAAATGGAGAAGAAAGATGGAGAAGAGGAGAAGAGAAGAAAAAGAAGAAGAAGAAGAAGAAGATGGAGAGTGGAGAAGAGGTTTTTCGAGCTAGGGTTCGCACCCAATCGCCCCCAATTTCTCCCCCCGTCAAAAATCGCAGAAACATGTTTTTAAGGGTTGAATCGTGACCTCCGCGGCCGCGACCTCATCTGCGCAGAAAGTGTGAATTTTGAGACCTCCGCGGCCGCGACCTATCCTTCTCCGCGGCCGCGGTGAAGGAAACTGGGCAGCTGCGCGCTGCTTTACGTTTCGAGTTCGTTTGGGCTCGTCCGAACTCGGAATTGAGTTCCGTTTTTTGCTATGCGTCACCAACGAACCCATCTATCCAGTTATTCTTTCAAAACCAACTTTTCCTGAAGAGAAAATTTGCCCAAAGCTCCTGACCTACACACCAAAAACGACAAAACACAAAAGAAAACCGGAAAAACAAACAAAAAACACCTAAGGACTCAAGATGTAGGAAAACACATAATAAAACATGAAACGGACTAAAAACTAAAGAAACGACCTAAAATGGGGGGAAAGGAAAAATGAAACGAGCACAAAAAATGCAACAAAAATGGGACAAACATGATGCACCTGTAGAAATGCATTGTGATAATACTGCTGCTATCCAGTATGCCCAGGATCCGAAGTTTCACAGAAAAACCAAGCATATCAAAAGGCGTTATCATTTTGTACGAGACGCAATAAAAAATAAAGAAGTTGTCATTACGTATATACCCACAAATTAAATGATAGCTGATCCTTTAACTAAACCTATACGCAGAGATGCTTTCCAAACTCATGTGAAGAGTCTTGGTTTGCGTAGGTTTTAATTTTATTTTTGTGGGATAATGGATGTGTATAATGTTACACCGAACATATATGAAATTTGTTGTTCTTTGATATGTTCTTTAGCATATGTTGCATAAGTAGGCATGAGTAAAGATGTCACCAGGCTTTTGATTACGCTTATCACACAAGTAATCGCCTATCACATTAGTTGTAAGTAATAGAATGAGACTATGTCATATTCATATTAAGTGTATGTAATATGAATTGTATTAATACATTTGTTGTATAAATATATTTTTACAGTCGCCTTAGTAAGTCTAAGATGAGACTCTATCGAGTCGAATATGAAATAGTCCTGATTTCATATCAAAGCCTTGAAGCCGAATCTCGAGTGGAAGATAAATTATTAAGTATATTTATCAAGTGGATCGGGTTAAATACTTGAGTAGTATCTTAACTACAAATTCGTATAACATAATAGAGTGACATGCCCATCATAGTGGGAGCTATGTTATGACACGTATATCATACTGCGTGTGCTTTTGAACGCCGTTAAGGATTGACAAATGATTCCCTACTTTGTCAAGGTGTGAATCCTATGGATTTTGTTGTCCAACTTTGTACGAAGCCTTTTGACTTAGAACTATGTTATGAAATTGAGACTTAGTGTTGCTACTTTAATATGTCCTCCAAGAGCTATGATCGATACAATTCGATAGAGCATGTTAGGAAAGAAACTAAGTTGAGATGAAATTATATTAGTGTCTAAGAAATAAGTGATTCAACTTCACCACATTAGCCCAAGCGGTTATATTTGAATATAACCATGTTGTGTATATAGCATATAGGGACAGTGTATGCTATTGTTGATTTTTGAATAGTTAGAGGTTGTGGTAAGTATAAGGTGTTATGTTAGTTAGATGGCGACTTAATATAACACTGTTATTGTTGCTTTTGGTCGCACGCTCTATTACCTGTATGAGGCAAGAGATTTGCTAATAAAGATTTATTGTTATAGTCTCAGCTTAAGTGGCTGAGTGGGAGTATTGTTTTTAATTGATATTATGTTGCATCTATGGGTAACATCCACTTAAATGTGGTGGTGTTACAACTCCATCTCCATTGAGTATGGAGTTATGGAAGTGAGTTATGAAGTGTGAATTCATGTCTTCATTAAGTGTGAATTCGTGTCTTCAATGAATACTTGTATTAAGACAACTATAAATAAGATGCTTTGTGCATCTTGAAATGTAGACAATACGAGATAAGAAAACAAGTTAAGAAAATACATAATCTTTATAGTGTTTTTCTCTTGTTGAGCCGAAACCATCACAAGGCTGCTCGGGTTTTAGAGTGTGGAGGATACCGACAACTCTAGTAGCCGTCGGATAAAAGATACGGGCAAGTTTTCGCTTCGCCTACATAAAGGTTAGTCCTATATAAATTTATATATGTGTTATATAAAACCACTAACACTTATAAATGATTTTACTTAACACTATATGTCTATCAATCGATTTTGAAACAGTAAAAGTAGTTTTTGACATTACTCATTTGATTTTTCATTAGGGAATCATAACAAAATAATATAACTAACATACCATAATCAATTCAGAGGATCAACAATCAACAACTTTGCATCAACAAGACTAATAAGAATACATTGTTGATTACCTGGATTTGTGGTTTCTTTATGAGTTATTTTTCTTTGCATGCTGCTTAGATTTTGCTATCCATTGCTTTCTGTTTCAAGATGAAATGAAACCCAAATAATATACAATAGTAAATTCAGACATGATTCTTTTGAAACTATGATTAATTATGAGTTTTGCATATTGTAGAAAATGATAATAATAAATTTACATGGACTCACGTGGAATATAAGATTTGAGGAATCATAATCTATATTGTGATTTGTTGATATCTATATTGAAAATTATATGTTGTGGAGAAACATGAATCAATTGTAGAGAGAACAACTTGGTAAATCAGATTGACATTAAGCACATCAAACACGTGAATGTAATTCATAAGAAAACACAAGGTATGTTCAATAACACTATTTTTCAAAAAGTAGTCTTCTACATAGTTTTATCACCAAAAAAATAAATAAATAAATAAATTGAGTTGTACAGTTTCCCCAAAGTAGGTATAGTATATTCTGATATTTTCCGTGTGTACTGTTTCCCCAGGGTATTTGTAAATTCGTCAAAAATAACTCATATTGAGTTATTCTGGATTTGATATTATATTTTGCAATCGTTGTGACAATGAAAAGTTGTTAAAAATCTTTTATAATAATTGTTTATTTCGTACAAAATAAACCGTTCAAAATATGTTGTAAAAAATAACTGCTATCAAATCGCAGGCTAAAACATACACTATATATACATGTAGTTTGGTATGGATTAACATGGATTTCTTTCATCCATATCAATATGTGTATTCATTAGATTTAATACTGAATGATATAGTCCATGGAAATAAGTAATTTTAAACAACAGTTGATTGTTTTTATAATTCTGATAACTCTTTTTTTTTTATATATATCTAATAATTCTGAAAAAATATTATTATTATTTTTTATTGAAGTTTTTATTTTTTTCTAAAAAAATATAATCTCTTACTAATAAATGATTATAAAAAAATTAAACAATATATGAACAAATTATAAGGAACAAAACATGTTTGATAAAATTATATTTTTTTCGTTTTTAAAAGCTATACATACTACGAATAAAAGATAAATATACAATTACCAATTAGCTTTAAAAATAAAATTCTAATTGTTAACTATTTATTTACTTTCTTAATTGTGATTGATTTGATTATTTTAACGTTTAATGCTTGTTTGTTGTGCAAATGATCTTATAGAATTTGTTAACAAAAATCGAATTTTTTGATTGGCATGCCAACTGGCTTTTGATAAAATAAATAGCATAAATATATCCGATCGAAGAAAAATTAGCCTCGATTTTCTTTCCAAACTTACCCAATGCTCACATTTAAATTTTTCGAAAAAAATTAAGCTTAAATCACATAAGTAGTTTAATTTTTATATTGTTTAATATAAAAATATAGTAAGTTAAAAACCGCAATCTATATACCAAACTATTCGTACGATTGTTTTTATGTTATTAGTTGATTTAAGAATCATTTTTTTAACGAACATTTGACATTCTTAACTATATCCTAAAGATAAGGGAATACACAAGTTTTTACGTTAGAGAGATCATGATACGTAAAATAATATTACCTATAAGTATTGGTAAATTAAAGAAACAAATTATGGGCATAGATAATTGATAAATTCAACATATAGTATCCTCCTACATTTCAATTGAATTATGATGATTCATAATTACGTTCTACTTGGTGTTCATCCAAGATAAAGAAATTATATTAAAATGTCGAATAAATTAGAAAACATGATTATAAAATATAAGACCGAAATTAATATTTGTTTTTGTTAAAAAAAATATGTAATAAGATTTACTCTCAAATTCAAATTGACAATATAATATTTATTTGAAATGATATAGCGAGAGATATCTAACACTTGCGTAAAAAAAAAGTAATTGTCTAAATTTAACACATAACTTATATGTGTTATAAAGTATGCTATTAGCTCTCTCGCATATTATACATTATTTTTACGTTTTACGAATTACCAAGAAAGAAAGTTTTCTCCTAGTTAGTTTTTGAACAGGAAGCTTCCACTTCAAGTCAAGGTAGTGCATGTTCTGCTCTACTATACTATGGAATTTTTTTGATTAGATGGAAGTCCCAGACCAGAAGATAGAGCTCGAAGTTAATTTGTCTGTTAAACTCTATTGTTCGAAAGTCCATAGGAAGGCTCCGAGATAGAACAGTAAGTAGGCGTAGATGAAGGCTGACAGCCAGCTGAGAAGGCCACCATACTGCTTGAAGCTTGATTAGCATCATCAATATCTAAATCATCTGAGTCAATAACTGAATCTGATTGCAGACAGAAAAATGGATTGTGATGAGTAATTGGGAGCTCAGAGCTCTCCAACACCTTTTAGTGATCTTTAGGGAAAAAAATATAACTTATCTAATCTCAATTTCTTTTCTTCAATGAAACCGAAAGAAGAAGGGAATACGAATCAAGAATGCTAGGTTTAGCCGCCATGAAGGAAATCTCGACCGGCGTCGTCACATCGGTTGACCCTAGGGTTGACCCGCCGAACCCCTTCCCGGATCTACACGCTGCCAATCCACACACAATTCCTGGTACCCATAATTCAAAGAAGAGGTGCTCTGCTCTGCCGTTGGATACCTCACCGACAATGGAGGCTAACTCGAGTTTAGAGACGACAATTCCGCCACCAGTGGTGAACAACGTGCAACAGCCTCTGAGTTTTAAAGACTCCCTCACTAAGAACCGTCCCCACGTTGCAACTGGATTCTGATGATGATGGAGAAGGCCCAGAAGATGATGTTTTTTTACATTTTAGCGCTCCTGTCCGGACATCAAGATGAAAGACTCATTCTACGAGAGTCGTGCTAAGTCATTTAGCAACGTCATAGTTGTCAAATTGCTGGGGATAAACATGTGCATGGAGATGCACTAACTGGCTCGCTTGTACCTGTATGCTTGCGGACTGACTTAGGAAGTAGACCGAATAGCCAACTTTCCTCTCCTTGGTTCGGGAATCAAATCAAGCTTTCAATCTTTGGTGGGAGGATACAAACGAAGCGAAGCGATATTTGAGTCTTTCTTTGCTTTACGCAATTGGGGTTCCCCGTAACGAGGGATCTGACAAAAGTACGATTCGCTTTTCAGGCGGACCTTCTTGCGGCCATCAGAGCTACCGACCGGTACTTCTTCATTCCGGGTATGCTCGTAAGCAGATGCTAACTTAACCGAAAGGTCTTGGTGTGAACTCAAACCAGGTAGCTGGAAAGGTCTTATCTTAAAAGAAAGTGATATTCAGCCACAATCTCTTCAAAGACAAGAGCTATGGAACAACAGAAAGAAAGACAGACCCCTTGTCACTACCTCGTATGTCCTCCCCTACTATTTGATTTGGGTAGGGGTGTGGGTCGTCTAGAGGAAGAATAGATACCTAATGGGCGGATCCGGGTAAAGTCCGAAGTTGACGATCTACCATGGCTGGAGGAGAGATTCATTCAATCGAGACAGCACCACTATCTCCAAGCACAACCTTGGAGTTTCGGATTCGACCCAACGAACGAAGTGAAGCGAAGTGAAGTCATAGAAAATAGAGGGAAGAAGGAAGACAGGCAGCCTTATTCTACGAGGATTGATTCCCAGACACACCTTCCACTACTAGACGGAAGACTAAGAAAATGAAAGATTCTTACCATAGGCAACTGCGCTGGTCGTAATAGGTAGAAGTGAAGAAAGAAAGCAATATGTGTCCATAGTTAACATCGATTTTGACTGGGCACTCGCTTGAGATGTAGTGTCCCCACCGCTTCAACCTTAACTAACTCATTAATCTCATCAATCCCGTACTCCGGCATATTTTCTTTCCTATGTGATAAAGAAGATAAAATAAGGCTGATGCTTATAGTCAAAGTTTTAGATCATCAATATCGTTCTTGATGCTAAAATATCCCCCCGGGGTGTCGAGGGGTGAAAGCTGCTCGACTTATGAAATAGGCCTAAGCCTATGCCAATGGACTCGTGACATCGAAGTTTTTTAATGAGTTGTTGATCTCCGGAAGACTTCGATTTCGTCGGTATGAATAGGCAAGGAGCCAGTCCTACTAAGCCAATCTACGGCGAAGAGACAAGACTCAAAGTTTAGGCGGATATCAGCATACAATTACAGTCCTGTCGGAAGCCATCCAGTAAGGTGATTTTTTAGGGGTCGGGTTCTTTAATTTGAATCTCCTGTTAGGCGCGCTAGCGACTATAGACCTGGGCCGGATCGCGTCTGTAACACCCTGATTATCAGAGTAAATTTTTCGCAACCTTTACTTCGAAAAATACTTATTAAATTTTCCCAAATCTTTTGCACTTAACTTGGAATGCTACTAAAACTTATCTTTTCTAAAAATCCATTTTTCTTTAAATCTGGTCTAACTGCTATTTTAGACATAAAGAAAATAGATTTAATCAACCATGCATGTAAACTTGACCATGTTCATACTGTTGAACTACTAAAAATCTGTAAGTCTGAAATTACTTAACATGCAGGTTCGAAACTTGAAATGCGTAGCGGAAATCTGAAAAACGTAACATCATATTATACAGATAGTAGAAATAATTGTGCTCGTAAATAATAACATTTTGAATCCACGACCCCACCACCACTGCTCAGCTCACACCTCTGCACCGACCCTGTGACCTGGAAATGATAATAGTGGGGCGTGAGTACTAATCCACTGTACTCCGTAAAAACCCATACTGAATATACAGCACATATAATCCAATATCATGAACTAAGTATATACATAAATAAAACTTTACTTTACTGATGCAACATTCGGGAACTGTCTGGATTATCATGTAATCACACTCTGGGGGTCGCCTCCCCAGAAACCCAGGTTGGGAAAACCTTCCATACAAGACCCGGTGATCATAAACTCATTTTAACTGGACCACGAACGGAATAACTCGTCTATTCGGGTAAATATCTATATACATACCTCATACATGGTACAAGATTATAAGCAATGTAATACCCAGGCTGGGTCCCCACCTTTTCTTCTTTTGAAAACTTTTTGAACACTGTAAGTGCTGTGCTGGTTAGCTATATCTGCAAGTTACATAAAAATATAAAAAAATATACTAAGTACTATGCTCGTTAGGAGTGCCGAGAGTACCCGATAACAGGTAGGCGAAGAACGCTGGCTTTATTTTTCTTATTGTTTTAACTTATATATTTGAATAATTCTTGACGGAGGATTTCAAAATTATTATGGTTATACTCACTAAAATGCTAAGATGCTTAACTCTATCAGAAAACTTATCCGAAAAAAAAAAAACACTCTGGTGTTTCTCTAAAATGATACTAAGTCCGGAAATAAAACTGATATACTTAAACTGGCCTTGTTTGGCTCGAAAAAATACTTAAATTTTGGAATCATACTCAGACCGAAATACTCGAACCAAAAATAACTTGAACTGCTATCCGGTCTTACTTAATCTTACCGGAACATTATCTAATTACTCAACTTATATCTATGACTATATCTCAAGGATTTTTATCCAAGTCAAATTTCATAATTTAATTCAATTTAAATTGAATTAAAATAAATTCTCTAATCTCTATGATTTTTTATTTTTTTTTTAAACTTAATAACTTAAAAAAATTCATAACTAACACTTTAACATAAATATGGATTTATTAAACCTCATGATAAATTGTAATATATCATATGATACAAGGAAAATTAAGTAAAGCAAGCTAACCTTCTCGGAATAAGGTAAATGGCGCTAGGGCCTTTACTAGGCTTATTCGCATCTTCTCGGTGTCCCGGCTATAAACGATGAACTCACTACACTCTTTAGACTACTACAAATTCTATGAAGTCGACTTGGTATGAATAAATTTAATTAGGATGGCTGTAGTTCAAAATTCTCTTCTTCTCGACAACATGCCCGTACAAGGCTTTTCTCAACTTTCCTCTATTCTTCTCCCAATATTTTCTAAGTATGGGACATCTTATATGGATTTCCAATGACAAAACAATCACTTGCACAAGTTACAAATGAACATGTCAATTCGGAATTAATTAATGGAATTAAAGCTTGATAAAAAAAAAATATGGCGTAATTAAATACTTAATGCATGATTAAGTGGCAACTCATGACATTAACTTTGATTTTATTTGTCCACGGCACTTTTTCAATGTTTACACGGCTTTGACTTCTCAATAAACATCACTTTCTAGTTATCAAACCTTAATCTATAGCTTACTCATCATATTAAGATAAACTTAATCAATCGTTTTGGACTTATCTATGAAAATAAAATAATATCATCTCTAAATCAATACTATGATATTAATAAGTCATTTTGTTATGAGAAGTGGACTTACTTAACATATCATAAGGACATATGTCTTTAACACATGATTAAGTATAAATTGATTACGCTTAATCATGACTTATATGTTCATCTCTTAAGATAGCAGCCATGTAAGATTTGACATCTCAAAATAAGATGAAAATAAATTCGATAAAAAAAATGTGCACTTGATCTTAATTAAAAATTTTTGGGATCATCATTAATATAGTTCGATATGGAAATTGCAAGCTGGCGCAAGAGGATTAATTTAAACCAAGCTTCTCCCTTTATTTAACCGAAATGGAAACAACTTATTAGCTCAAATTACTTGAGTGATGTTGACCTAAATTACTAAGAAAATATTTATAAAACTCAATTTATTCGAACCGAACTTGTTCGATTTTTCTCGCGACTCGACTTTGACGATTAATCAACATATTCTCGACTTCGACTATCTCGTCGACTTGAAATAATTAATCGCGACTAGTAAAGTCCGTTTCTAAAATAAACGAACCGGAATTAATTAATGAACTGGCTCGGAACTAATAAAGAGTATTATTAATAAAAGTAAATTAGTTCAAACTCAGAACTAAAACTTTTACTTTTATTAATAACTGAATGGGATGGTACAATCTACCTCCCTTAAAATTATTTCCGTCCTCGGAAATACTGAAACTGAGATTCATACGAACTGAGTACATATCAAAGCTTAAAATCTGAAAAACGATCTCTAACGTCAACTTCTCGCTCCTGAACCGATGAACCTTTCGGTTAATAACTACTACCGGTTGTTCCTCGTAAGTTAAATCTGGCTTAATCAGAACTTATTGTGCTAAAGCACATGCTATGGATTGCACACGTACTCACATAACATCGTTACGTGAAACACATTATGCATACTGGATACATTTCTTATCCAAAAGCAAACTTTGAAGTTTTTTTGTTTTTTTTCATCTTTGTTTACTATCTACCTATCAGTAGTAATTATGGAAATGCCAATCACTTTTGGCTCGACCCGCTATGACTCGGGACCTGATAATGCGGCACATTGCATGCGATTTACCCACTACCCGGGGCCCTTCGGGTGCGGAACACCTGCATGCAGTATACCTACAACGTCAATGTCACCTGCAGTCACTAACATGGTCGTATCCACATTCTATGTTAGCATCTTCACTGAACTTGTTTCTATTTCCCAATCAATCAAACTTCACAAATTTCTCGTTATATTGGTCAAAAGAAGGTCAATTTTCTAAAACCCCTCACTAAATTTGCGATAATATCCTTCTAAACCAAGAAAACTACTAATCTCTATCAGATTATTGAGCTTCTGAAATGCTGCCCCCTGTACTTCTTTTTCTTCAAATTCTCCCAACTTAACTATAGTCAAGAAGTCTTGAAAAGCTAGTATGTAATTTCTGTGTTAATGTGGTCAACTTATCAAGTTGCTTGATCATACCACAATTTCACCGCTCAAGGTAAACTTATTTAACTGCCAATAATGCATACCGGCAATAATAATATCGGTAGGTTATTGCAATAATTCATATGCTGACATTATTGTCGACAAATCACATCTTCTTTTTTTTGCTACTTTAATTGCCTTCAGGTTGCGTATTCTGACATTCGATATAATTTAATGCTAAAATTTATTACTGAAAACTGATCTCATACGCATCTTTCTTCTATAAACTGACTTGGTAATCCTTCAATCTTCTTCAGCAATGGTCCGAATTCACCAATGGATTTAGCACTGCTAAAAATCCAAAAATTATATCCCTTTCTCCCTCTTAATATCATAAAGAGAATTTATCGAGCTCGTATAAAAAGGTTTAGAGTGCTAATGCTCAATAATATCCCTAATGATATTAGATGGCTGATTGAAGCAAAAGTTCGTCTGTGTGGCAAGTATCCCAATGCATATAAATATCAGACAGGTATGGGTAGAAGCACTTTTGCCAAGAAACGTAGAGCAAAAAGAATAGGCGGTTGCTATAAATGCGCTCGCTGGAATTGTGACACTCGTTGTACTTCTTTTGGCTTTGTGTCAAATAATCGGAAAGATAAGATAACTTTTATAAAGAATGGCTTGAGTAAGGAATCTTTGGATCTAACCATTCAGCAGATTCTTGAGACACATTCTAGTGGATATGTGCATCGAGAACTGATGTCTTTAGGCTTCTGTCCAAACATGAAGAGAAACTCTATGGTCTGGAAAATATTGTATCCAGAGATCATGTTTGTAAACACTGTTCTTGATAATACATATGTACTGTACATAAGTCTTATCACTGTTGACAGATTAGATTCATTTAAGTCTCAACTACTTTCTTGTCTGCACTTCGCTTCTTTAAAAGGCGAATCTATATTCATAACCAAGTGTCTCTCATAATAAATGGCTACTGCCGAATCCTCTCAAAGTAACAAACTTCTTCAACCAATCAGAATTGTGTGTGTTCTTGGTGGTTCTAGATTTGTACTCTTACCTCATAACTTTTATGTTGTAAGCCAACTGGTGAAAGAGTTGGCTAAAAAAAAGATCAACATACTTTATGGAGGGACTAGTATCTATTTCTTTAATAACCTTTTAATGGCTGCTAAATGCTTTGATATCGAGGTGAGAAGTATCCTTCCTTTTTATCTCACTTCATCAAAGGTTGTTAAAGATTCTGCTACTTTCATGATAACTCTTTCTATTTATGACTGTTTGATGGTGATGATATCTGGTTGCGATGCTTTCATCGTTCTTCCTGGTGGATATGAAACTTTAATGACTGTATTTACCTTTGCTACTTGGGCAGAAGTGAAATTTCATACCAAACCTATTGGTCTGTTGAATTTCAATAACTTTTTCCACAACTTGCTTGGATTTCTAGATGAAGGAGTGTATCAAACTTTTATATCCCCTTTACAAAAAGAAATATTCAAGTCTACTGACACATCCGATGAACTTATCAAGAAGCTTCAAAACAGCATCTCAACAGTTCAAGATTCTGTGGAAACTCAAGGATTCAAACGCAAGCGAGCCTTTGATCCTTTAGATCTATCTTTGTGAAACTACAGCCATGATGGGTGGCAGAGTTATGGAGTATTTTGCTCTTGAGACGCACCCTCCCTTTCTGTAAATTAACCTTGTAATAGTTGAGGATTCCTTTCTACTTGTCTGCATCTCTCTTTTCTGATGTTTCTGTACTAGCTTCTTAGAAATAATGAAATCCTCAACAGTGTGCTTAAATTTACACAAATCTTTGTCTAGCTCTTGACTTTCAATGATACTATCTTTCCAGTATTCTTCTTCTAATGTATTCTTGATTCACTTTCGACTTTTGGACTGAATTTTTTTTTTCTTTTTTTTTCAGTCTAAAATTCCATACTTCACTCTGTTGTTTTAAAACTTTGCCTAGCAGAATTCTGAATAACCACTAACCATTTGACTTGAACAGTATAGCCATTAATAAATAGCTACACTATACTTAATAAAATTGTTAATGATTCCGAAAACATCTAGCTTGTGCTAGAGTTCTGGTTAATCTAACTCTTTCTTACTTCTTCTCGCAATTCCTTACTTCTGGCCTTAAGCTCGTCATCTATCCTTGGTAATGAATACTTGCTCCTTTTTGTGAATTCATCATTCTACTTGATGAATAAATGGAAACTTATTAGTCTTTGCTATTCAGCAGACTATCTTTAACTTTTACATATCCAGATTACTCTTAACTTCTAAAATTCTTCCGAGAAGTTTAAATAATCATCTCGGTATCTAAAATGTGATACTTATTGACTGATATCTATTAAGATTTAATTTCAAGTCTCCAGGTAAACTCGGACTAATAACCCTTATTCCAGGTTTCTATAATTTACCCAGCTAAGTGACTATTATATGTCGATACCTTAAACTCATATTCATTGGTTTCTGAAAAGTACTTTGTATAGCTGTACTGTTACTAACAAGTACTAATACAGAATAACTGATAACTTGATCTCGAACTTTGCAAATTTTAGTTCATGATATCTAACTGATAAAATACCCAAACTCCTGACTCTAAAGATCGACTACTTTTTTGAAACTATGTTTCTACGGTTCAGTTTCAAGCCTCCAGGATCTTATCCGGCTTATGGTTCTTATTTTAAACCTCCATGATTTACCCGGACTTATGGCTATTATACACTGACCGTTACTTCTGATACTGACTTAAATATATAGTCAACCTCTAGCGTCAGATCTTTAACATAAAATTTTTGGTTCTCTTAATTAATCTATTGAAACTTTCGAGATTGTAATTGCAAAACTAAACTTGATAATCTATAGTTCAAACTTGACTATAGTTCTACCTTCTGATAGGAAAATATATATAAGACTACTAATATTTTCTAATACTAATCTGAACATCTAGACTGATTTCTAGAGTTCGGATATCTGCAATCCTATTGAGCATAGACTTAGTAAATTTGAATATAATTAAAAATATTTATAAAACTTTTAACAACACTTACCTGGTAGTTGGCGAGGCGTGAGTGTGATGTGGTCGGGTTTTCTTGAAACTTCTCTTTCTGAAACATAAACTCTTAGTATACAGAGCACTTAACTTTAGCTCTAATACCAACTGTAACACCCCGCTTATCAGAGTAAATTTTTCGCAACATTTACTTCGAAAATACTTATTAAATTTTCCCAAATCTTTTGCACTTAACTCGGAATGCTACTAAAACTTATCTTTTCTAAAAATCCATTTTTCTTTAAATCTGGTCTAACTGCTATTTTAGACATAAAGAAAATAGATTTAATCAACCATGCATGTAAACTTGACCATGTTCATACTGTTGAACTACTTAAAATCTGTAAGTCTGAAATTACTCAACATACAGGTTCGAAACTTGAAATGCGTAGCGGAAATCTGAAAAACGTAACATCATATTATACAGACAGTATAAATAATTGTGCTCGTAAATAATAACATTTTGAATCCAAGACCCCACCACCACTGCTCAGCTCACACCTCTGCACCGACACTGTGACCTAGAAATGATAATAGTGGGGCGTGAGTACTAATCCACTGTACTCCGTAAAAACCCATACTGAATATACAGCACATATAATCCAATATCATGAACTAAGTATATACATAAATAAAACTTTACTTTACTGATGCAACATCCGGGAACTGTCCGGATTATCATGTGATCACACTCTGGGGGTCGCCTCCCCAGAAACCCAAGATGGAAAAACCTTCCATACAAGACCGGGTGATCATAAACTCATCTTAACTGGACCACGAACGGAATAACTCGTCCGTTCGGGTAAATATCTATATACATACCTCATACATGGTACAAGATTATAAGCAATGTAATACCCAGGCTGGGTCCCCACCTTTTCTTCTTTTGAAAACTTTTTGAAAACTGTAAGTGCTGTGCTGGTTAGCTATATCTGCAAGTTACATAAAAATATAAACAAATATACTAAGTACTATGCTCGTTATACTCACTAAAATGCTAAGATGCTTAACTCTATCAGAAAACTTATCCGGAAATTAAAAAA